GCTGCTGCTGCTGCTGCTGCTCGTGCTCGTCGTGCCTCGCAGCAGCCGCGTGCTCCTGCGGTTCTCGCTGTATCCGACGTATGCAGGCAGGTCGACGAGTCCCTCAGACATGCCAGCCCGCGACCATGACCCGCCCACCGCCGTCGGCGTCGCCGATCCCAGCCTCCTCGGACTCTGAGAAGTGCCCTTGCGAGTACCTGCACTCGACGTGCTCGGACGCGCCTGGTTCCTCCTGCGCACTGCCGCTGCCGGGTTCGGAGCGTAGTGCACCTTGGACCTACCCCGCACCGTGATCGGGTGCGACGTGAGGCACGCCACCTCGACACCCGCCGACGTCGTCAGCGGCCCATGTCGCGGAAACGCCAGCAGCGTGAGCTTGAGCGCATAGAACTGCTGGCCCGCCGAACCGCGCTGGCCATTGTTGAGCGTGGCCGAGCGGATCTGCACACGCCGGAACGCCGCGATACTGCCCAGGCGACTCGCCATCTGCTCGTTGGCGCCGGCATCCGGCGTCACCGAGCCGCCGCTGCACAGTGCCGCGGGCTGCACCGCCTCGCGCGGTCCTCGTTCGCGCGCGGGGCCGAATTGGATCAGAGGCACTTGTCCCTGCCGACCCTTGACGAGCTTGCCGTCCTTGTTCAAGACGTGGGCACTCATGTGCACTGCGAAGCGCTCGGCTCGGAATGCATCCCTGCCCTCCGGTTGACAGATCAGATCGCCCAGCGCTGCCTCGTGCGTGCGGCCGTCGGCGTCCTCTAGGCGAAAGGCCACATCGACCTTGAGATAGTTGCGGCGATAGCAGGCCCACTTGCCATCGACGACACTGAAGCATTGGTGCGTGGTGCAGTCGAGCTTGCAGAATAGCCTGCTCGATCAAGAACCGCAGATAGAGGAGGAACACGTGGAGATCAGTACCGATGATCAGCACCAGGTACGCCTCCGAGAGCTACTTACTCTTTGCGCGCGCCGCCGCCCTCCTGCTCGATGACGAGGGGCAGAGAAGAATGGGTGTCTCCGAAGATCTCGCCCGTGCTTCCTTCTTTCGGCACGTCCGCCATTCCGGCTGGATCGTCGCCGTTGAGCTGGTCGACCGACGGTGCTGCACCGCTTCCAGAGCCTTCGTCGACATCCTCGTCTTCGCTCTCGCTGCTCATGTCGGGAAGAGGCGACATGTTGCGCAGGATGGGCATCTTGTAGAGAAAGTCGTCTGCGCGGTCTTTGCCAAGGTTGCGGCTTCCGTCGGGAGCGACCGGCGACAGCTTGGTGGTGGGAGAGTGGAGCGACAGGCTCGGAAGGTATCGGGAAAGCTGCTGGCCGTGGTCATCCAGACTTTGGCGGTGGCCAAGGGACAGCCGGGGCAGAGGCTCGTCGTTGAGAGACAGCGGCGAGCACGCAAGCGACCCCAAGTGTGCCGAGGCGTTCGAGCGCGGCAAAGGAGGTCGCACTGCATACCGCCCGGCATGACGCGGCTCAGCGCCCTCTACCTGCGGAGCACCAAAACCATTGCGGGCTCGACTCGTGTCCAGTCGGAAAGGCCCAGCCGGCAGAGGCGAAGGCTCCACGAAGAGACCCAGAGCGTTGGGAGAGGGAAGCTCGTGGCCACTGAGGGTCTCCGTCGTGGGCGCGCGGAATGGCACGTTGCCCAAATCAAAGTACGACCCACCCGAATGACTGGCTGTGCCAATCGAGCCGTCGTGCGACGCAGCAACAGCCGCGGCTGGAAGCTCCTTCGAGGTTGATCGTACCGAGCTGGTCGGGGTCCAAGGCCCGCTTCGATTGGGAAAAGCGAAAACCGGGTCAAGTCGACGAACGTCAACATCCATTCGAACGCGTCAATTGAATTGTCCGTGGTGATACACTTACTGCAGACTCGAGGATGACCGGCCAGCGGCGGGCAGTGGGGTGGGAGTCGAGGGCGCCTGGCGCGTGTAGCTGTACGATTGGCGGCGCACCAGATCCGAGATGTAGTATGGGTTGCTCCTGTACTCGCTGCCGTAGCGCGACCAGGAAAGGCTGGGAGAACGGGAAGTGCGAACGGGGCCGACCAGGGGCGGGAGCGTGGGCCGATCAAAGTAGTCCAGGGTGAGAGCGCGCGACTTGATAAACGGCGGGATCGTCGTTGGCGTGTTTTCGACCTGAGCTGGGCTCAGCATCTCCCCCGATTCCTGGCGAGCGCCGAGCTGCGCGTTGGCCGTGAAGGAGGACATGGTGAAGGCGGCGCGATTGCGCTTGGTGAAAGCAGGCTGCAGGACAAGTGAGGCTGTCGAGGCTGCGTAGCGGTGCAGCTTCCTTGCCCGCTGCGTTTGAAGCGTGGGTGACTCTGGTGAAGGCGAGACTCGATGCAACGCGATTCGTCCCTTTGGACTAGAACGCGAGAAAGGAGTTGGGGGAAAGCTGCGATCGCCTGGGAGCGGAGAAGACGTGGTCGCGTCCCAATGTCGTTGCCGCCTGGAAGCGGCAGTTGCCGGTGGAGTAAGAGGCTGAGAGGTGTGGAATTCTACGAACTTGGATGATCTAGAGGATCCGTCGAGCGCACTCGTGCAGCCGAAACCTTGGGAACTGTGTCGAAAGGTTGGCGGGGTGGTGACCGAAAGAGAAGAGCTGCTGGTGCGAGCTGCAGTCGGTGTTGAGATGGTGGAAGAATGAATGGCCTGTCGTGCGGAAGCAGAGTGGGGTCCGTCCAGGTTTGGAGCGAGGCGGTGGCTTGTGGTGGCAAGAGGAGGAGGAGGAGTGGCGTGCACAAGGACGGGCTGCTCCTTATACCTCTCGCTCGTCCTGGTCGCCACTGCCTGCGACGCGGCATCGCCGACGGACGCTGAGGAGGCCGACGACTGAGGCACCGACGAGACGTCCATCGCGCGTCGAAGACAGGGCAGCAGAGAGCAGGCCTCGAGTGCGAGCGAGTGGGCGGTGCTTCCGAAGATGTGCACACGACCAATTGCTGATCGGAGCTGATCCGAAGCGAGACGATGTGGATGAGACTGTGACACGTCCCAAACTTTCGAGCCTCGATGCAGAGCTAGGGGCAAGAGGATGCGCAGTCACTCCGAAGCACCAGGATCGGAAGCCACCTCTAGATAGCCGGGCACGAGAGCGGACAGAAAGAATGCGCTGCACCCGAGCTGGCTGCCTGTGCACCGTGCACTGTTGTTCGCGAACGACTCGCGTCCAGTCAGCAATCTCTTGGGAGGCGTCTATGCGTGGATGGGGTGCGACGATGCTGGGGCAGCGATTGCAGTCACCCAGACTAGTGGCCAGAGACGAGCGAGCGAGGTCAGAGATAACGAAACCTCTCGGGTTGCA